TGCAAAAAAAACAAGATTTATATAGAAGTAGGAGAAAATGCGATTGTTACCAAAACGTATTGGCAATTTGTGACTTCAACATGATGTTTACATTTGTTGTGGCCAATTAGGAAGAAGTAGCACATGATTCCAGAATATTATCAAAAGCATTAGCAAATCTAAACGCATCATTCCCATTTACACCATCATGTAAGTTTATGGTTATTTAAATAACTTTATCTTAGTTTGAAAACTAAATGTGTTTTTGGGCATTTTTACAAATAAATATTTTCTTTGTGATGTCGCGTATGCATACACTCGAGGTTTTATAGCATCGTATCGTAATGTGAGGTATTGGCTTCAAGATTTCCATCAAAGACATGCATTAGCCAATAAAGAAATATTTAACTATGCACATGTAAAACTTCAAAACGTTATTGAGCGTGATTTTGGTGTCTTGAAAGCACGATTCCCAATATTAAAGAGGATGACACCGTTCTCGTTGGTTACACAAAGAAACATTACCCTTGCATGTTTCGTGCTTCATAATTTTATAAGAAGAGAGCGATTGAGTGATTAGTATTTTGCACGGTATAATGAACCAAATGTCTTGGTTCAAAATAACAATGTGCTTGTTAATGATAATGAATATGAGATTCCAACACATGGTACTGTAGTGGACTATGAATATATGACACAGTTAGGGGATGAAATTGTTGAACAGTTAATTGTATGAATTTTATTTCAATGTTTTAAGACTATAATTATTAATTTTTCAGTACTGAAAAACTATTTTATGCTTATAAAATTATTTTATTTTATTTTTTTAATATCTGCGGAGCTGCTGCAGATGCTAAAAAACAAACACACTTCTAATTATAGTCTGCACCCGTTTGATCCATCTTTTCTACTGGAGAGGGTTGCAGAAGTGGTCCACAAACTTCAAAAAATATCGTTTCCAAAAAAGAAAACCATCACCATACTCTAATGAGAAAAGGGATTTATTGCTACAAAACTTACACTTACAAGTTAGAAAATAGAAACTACAAAATTAATTAAATTATGTAACATAATATTTTAACGTTTAATATTAAAAAGAATAGGGATACAACAACACTCCTATTACCCCAAGTACCTCATCTAGGCCTGACAATTCTCGACAAGACCTGTGATACAACATGAAATAAAAGGGTTTTGGTTGAGTTTTTCAACTCGTCAACCCACCAACTTGCCAATCTATCAACCCGTTTATTAAACAGGTTATATGTGTGTTTCTCAAAAAATATACGGGTTGATCTGCCAACCTATTAGAGCTTTAATGAAAAAAAAATATATTTTTTTTAAATGTATTAAGTATTATACACTATACAGTTTATACTTTATGCTAGGATATGATACTCGATATCATTGATCATTTGACCCTGTGGGTAACAATTTGCTAATTTTCATTGCAAGAAGCTTGACATTTTCCATAAATAATCTCAGTATCTTACAAACAAAATCGAATAAGCCCTGTCCGGGTCTCCACTCTGTGATGAATGACAGAACGAACTCACAGAGAATGACGACATGAACAATTAAATCATTATCGAACGATGTCGACGCCTGCGATTGAATTTATCTATGTTTATATTAATGTTTTAGTTTGGACATGTTTCCATGAATGTTTTTAATTTTCATTTGGATGTTTAAGACTTAAATTTTTAAAATTAGGATATGTTTGCTTCAAGAATTTATTCATGTTTAATTATCAATTTTATTTATAGAATTTGCCCCACGAACACACGAATTCAAATCTGACTCACGAACCTACCAAACTATGAACCCGTATAAATAAGTGGGTTAACAAGTCATATATGAGTTTATTCTCCAAATCCACCAACCTGTGAGCTGCCAACCCGTGACCTTTATAATTAAATAGGTCGTGTTCGGATTGATATATTTTGACCTACCAACCTACAAACCAAAATCCATCAACCTAAACACAACACGATTGTTACGTCTAACCTTGCCAGTGTCATTTAGTTGGCCTCAATGTTTATATTAAAAAAAGTTTTATATATCTAACTATTATATATGATATGATGGAGGCCACATCCAAGTGGGCCATACACCCACTCAATATACATTGGATCCACATTGGTGGTCGTTGTAGCATAATTTGTTGTTGTAATCCTATTAAAAAGTCTATTGCTCATAATATATTTTTTTCAATATTGTAATATAAAGCTTTCATCGCTGCTTTCCACATATTGATTAAGGAATGCTACTTCAAAAAATAAAATAAAAAAATCTGTTTTCAGTATTCCAATTAAAAAAATTTCTGTTTTTTTAAAAAAAAAAAGATTTACTTTTAAACTTCTGTTTTTAATGAAGAAATCCAAATACCAATTTCGCTTTTCTCATCCACATGACAAACAATGAAAAGTTGCTTCAGACTTTATGTCAATTCAGATGAACCACACAACCAAGTCAACGTATAGCAAGTTGTACAGGCTACTAAAACAGGAATTACATGAGTTACAAGCTACTAATGCACAAGGTACAAGTCAGTTGGATTCTCCTCCCACAGACACACATGATTTTAAAAGAGAGAGAAAACTGCTACGAGTGGAATTTCCGCATATTACGGGGACAAAGAAAGGTAAAGGGTTTGGTACTTAACCTCTTAAATAATTATAATAAATTCAAAATCATGTTGGTACACATGGCAGATAGCGTGGATGATGAAACGACAAAAGCTTGTGCTACCGTATTGTTTTATAATTTTATGTCGCAAATTGCTTAATAACTGATGAAAATATTGCCGGTAAAAAAAAATTACCATGCCGACACTGGTAAGAATTGCTAAGCACGTTACTTTATGTTGAAATAAAAAAATCATTCATTATGATGATTATCTTAATAATGTGAAATCAACTCACTTTATACTTAAAATGTCAAGTGATAAGTTTTCTTTATCAGTTTTTTATTACAGTGGAATTTTATTTGAAATTCACACCTATCTCTCTCACCACATATATTCTATCTTAATAAATCAAAGAAGTCAAGTAATAAGATATTTCTTGAGATTTTATTTGAAATTCACACCTATCCCTCTCTATATATGCACGGATCTTTTCATTGATGTGCGCCTCAAACTACATACACTCTATCTCAACAAATCAACACATCAATGGCATCTCCGTCGTCTTCTCCTTCCGCCCCGGAATTTTCTTCTTCTTCTAAGTCATGGAAGTATGATGTTTTTCTTAGTTTTAGAGGGGAAGATACTCGCAAGACTTTTGTGGATCATCTCTACTCAGCTCTCGAAGAACAGGGGATCTACACTTACAAGGATGACATAACACTTGCTCGGGGAGAATCGATCAGCCCTTCCCTGTTGCAGGCTATTGGAGAATCGCAGATTGCCATCATCGTGTTCTCTAAAAACTATGCAAATTCGACCTGGTGCTTGGATGAACTTACACATATCATTAAATGCAGGAATGAGATAGGGCAAACTGTTATGCCCATATTTTATGACGTGGATCCTTCTGAAGTGAGAAAACAAAAACGAAAATACAAAGAAGCATTTGACACACATGAGGTGGAAAACAAGAACAGAATTAAATCTTGGGGACAAGCAATTGTTGATGACCCTTGGGGATGGCTATCTGCACCGCTCGAGCAAAATCGAAAATACAGAGAAGCTGCTGCCAAACAGGAATTGGAGCACAAGACCAGGGTTGAATCATGGAGAAAAGCACTTGTCGAGGCAAGTAACATTTCTGGATGGGAAACAACGCAGATTGCCAACGGGTAATTTTCTTCAATGTTTTTTGCACTTTTTATACTTAGATGTGTGCTCTACAACATATTTATACTTGTACCTTATACGCTCTTTATATAAATCTTTTAATTATTGTTGATGGTGTTGATGAACTTTAAAAAGGAGAGGCTTTAACTAGATCAATTGACCAGTTTGGTAAGTTCAAGTATATCTCAAACCCAGGTTTATGGTTCAAATAAATTTATGATGGACATCGACTTCATTAAGTTCTAGTTCTAATTCCATAATTAACACCTTGCTTCAAGCTACAACAACAAATCCATCATGCTTTAAATTTTTATATTTGAAACTATTTGATGATTCCCAAGAAAATTGCTACAAAGTACTTGTGATATTGACATTACATTTTCTATTTAAATGTAAAATATAGGTGATTAGGATTCCGTAACATGAGACCAATTACCTCATTTGTTAATGTAGGCATATATTAATTGTCCTTGTACGTCTAACGTGTAGGCATGAATCACAAGGCATCAAACAAATTGTCGTTGAAATTTCGCAGAAATTGTATCCACTAACTTCAAGAGCAGATGAAAACCTGATTGGAATGGCCGAACGAGGGCAAAGTTTGAAATCAGAGTTACAAATTGAGTCAGGCGGTGTTCTCATGATTGGAATATGGGGGGTTGGGGGTGGTGGTAAGACTACTCTTGCATCTTCGGTTTATAGAGAAATCTCTAGCAAGTTTAATGGTTGCTGCTTTATTAAAAATATTCGAGAGGAATCAAGTAGGTATGGGCTGGAAAAGTTGCAAAAAAAAATTCTTTCAGAAATGAAAGTAAACAAAGTTGGAGGAGGAAGATCCTTGATAGATAATAGGTTACGCCGTAGAAAGGTCTTGATTGTTCTAGATGATGTCGATCACCTCGACCAACTAAAAGCATTAGCTGGGTCACATGATTGGTTCGGTGAAGGAAGTCGAATAATTATCACAACTAGAGATGTGCATTTATTAAATGCACACAGAGTAGACGTGATGCATAAGATTAGCTTATTAAACAATGATGAGGCTATGAAGCTCTTCTGCAAGCTTTCACCGCAAGATAAGAGACCTAAGGAAGATTACGAGCGGCTTTCAAAAGAAGTGGTTTCTTATGTTGGTGGGCTCCCATTAGCACTTTCAGTTCTTGGTCCTTTTCTGTGTGACAAAGATATTGACGAGTGGAAGAGTGCTTTAGCCAGATTGAAAGACATCCCAAATGATGATATTGTGGGAAAGCTAAAACTCAGTTTTGATGGACTTACAAAGGTTGAGAAAGAGTTGTTCCTTGATATAGCATGTTTTTTTAGGTGGGGGTACAAAGAAAAGTCAATGGAGATACTTGATGCTTGTGGTTTTCATCCTGTTATAGGAGTGAAGGTGTTGATACAAAAGGCTCTCATAACTATTTCAGAAGATGGAGAGTTTGATATGCATGATTTGGTGCAAGAAATGGGACATCACATTGTTAGAGGGGAACACCCTAACAACCCTGAAAAGCATAGTAGAATTTGGAAGAAGGAAGATGCTATAAAAATATGCTCTATGGATGCAACGACGGTAACAATTAAGCTAGCTTTGCATGAAATATATATATATATATATATATATATATATATATATATATATATATATATATATATATATATATATATATATGGGAAAAGTGAATATACCCTTAAGGGTATATAAGCTTACGTACCCAAACTCACTACACTACGTCGTTTTGTATCATATAATACATTCTAATTGTCCAATGTTCTTATAATTTAACTTCTAACTTAATTATTTCCGTGATTTTTATAAATAACACATTTATCTTTCTTTTACATAATTTTCATTTTCAACTACAATATACATAGCCTAGTAGGTGTTCGGCAAAAACATGTGATGTAAGAGAAAAATAATAGTAAAAGTTCGAAAATTTTGAAAATAAATCAAGCTATTTAAGAACATTATAATAAATATGTCCAACAAAACGACATATTATGGTGAGTTTGGGTACGTAAACTTATATACCCTTAAGGGTATATTCACTTTTCCATATATATATATATATATATATATATATATATATATATATATATATATATATATATATATATAGAGAGAGAGAGAGAGAGAGAGAGAGAGAGAGTTATGATCTTTTGACAACTCAAATATCCGTAAAACCCTAAGAACTTTTCCAACACTATATTCTTGATTTTTTTTTTACCAATCACTAGTTAAGAATTTAATTCTCTGAATTTCTTTTAAAAAAATGTCTTTTAAAAATGTGCATATATGCATATTTCAGATGTGCGCACATGCATGTATGAACATTTTTGAAAGGCCTTTCTGATTTCTTTTGGAAAGTGCTTAAAAACCTGCGACTAAGGATCTCCAAACGTTTTTTTTTTTTTTTTTTTTTTTTTTAAATCACGCAAAGCTCTCAGTTTTAACGAATCTTTGAGTTCTCAAATATATATATATATATATATATATATATATATATATATATATATATATATATATATATATATATATATATATATATATATATATATAATCAATTTGCTCCTATATCATAGGAACTTGATATGATTGAAGCAGTCGGACTTGGATTCTTTGTTTTTCCACTTGGGGATAATCTACCACTTGTTGCAAACGGGAAGAACCTTAGGTGGATTCAATGGCAATGTGATATTGCAATTCATTTGCTTAGTAACTTTCCACAAAGGACGCTCTGTTGTCTAATATTGGGGTCTGGCCTTCAAAAACAACTATGGGAGGGTAATAAGGTAATTCTTATTGTATTTTTAATTAAAAGATGAAAACAAGATGTCGCGACCGAGTAAATGTTGTCATTGAGCAATTTCAGCTACTATCTCCCTCTCATATTTATTGTTACTTTCTAGTTTCGAAGTCTTTAGTCTTCAAGTTCGATCTTAAATATTTTTATTTTTGATATATAATACTTAATACAAAATATATGAATGAATGTATCTTAAATGTTTTATCATTGTTATAAATTTAATCAATAATATATAGCTCAAATACAAATATTTAAGGTGAAAGTTAAGAATATATACTCTAATAATAAAAAATGTACAATAAATATGACACGAGGGAGTATAGTTTTATAACTAGCTATAATATTGAGTATTGAAAGCATGAACCTTAAATCTTGTTTGTATGAATAAGAATAAACGTGGTAATTAAAATATATAACTTCTTTGATATGATATGAAAACATTAGTCATTGCATCCATGGTATGTAAAGATCATCCTCCATATAAATATCCTTTAACTTGTTTTAACATAACGACAAAAATTCGTTATTTTTTTTATTTTATTTTATTTTTTTTGAAATAAATGTTGTATAATTATTTTGGTAAGATTTCAATCTAACTATTATTTTTGTTGACTAATAACCATATAAAACAATATTGATATCATGCATTTAGGTTCAAAAATCGTTTATTATTTTGTTTTTAATGACTGAATATTATATTGGTAATTAAACATTAATTCAAATGATTTCCATTTATATATATATATATATATATATATATATATATATATATATATATATATATATATAGATCCGGTAAAAAAATATTTGGTACGAAGGTAAGAAGTTTTTTTTCTACATATTTTTTTGACGAACAAAATAAATGAATCACTAGATAATTCATTTCTAAGATGATTCACAAGAAAAAATTCTCAAAAAAACATCTTTATGATTCATTTTTAAGTAAATTAAGAAAAAATTCATTTTTATGATAATTTTAGTGAATAACTACAAAATCATTGTATAAATGAATCATAAAGATGTTTTTTTGAGAATTTTTTCTTGTGAATCATCTTAGAAATGAATCATCTAGTGATTCATTGATTTTGTTCGTCAAAAAAATATGTAAAAAAAAAACTTTTTACCTTCCTACCAAAAATTTCCTTCTTATTTGATCTTGACTCTATATATATATATATATATATATATATATATATATATATATATATATATATATATATGTGTGTGTGTGTGTGTGTAAGTATATCTGCGTTCTTAAGCGAAAATATTGACTTGTTTGAACTTGTATACGTCAGTTTCTGCCAAATTTGAAGATCATTGAACTTTGGAGTTTTCATAACCTAATCGTGACACCAGATTTTTGTGGACTTCCAAATCTTGAAAGATTCATCCTTACTAGGTGTTTCTATTTAGAAGAGATTCATCCATCAATTGGACGCTTGGAAAGACTTGTTTTCTTACGTATAGCACACTGTCCCCGTCTTGAGATGTTCCCACCCATTACCCAACCAAAGAAACTTAAGACCCTTGAATTCTCAAGTTGCCCCAAACTTTTTAATATCTCAGAGATCCAGAAGCAGAACATTGACAATTTAGGGAATCTTGATTTGGATAATAGTGGGAAAGAAGTTGAATCCTCTATGGAATGTTGTTTAGAGGAGCCTTCTTTACCTCGTAACAACATGAAGCCTTGTTTGCATGACAACATGAACCACATAGGGCTGCAGTTTTTTTTCAAGGACATAAGAAAGTTGGATCTAAGCTTTTGCAGTTTGGGAGATGAAGAAATTTTCTCTGCTGATTGGGAGTTGCCCAACTTGGAAGAACTCAATCTAAGAGGAAATGACTTTTCACTATTAAGTTTTAGTCGCTTGAAACTTCCTCGGCTCAAACTGCTAAACGTGTCATATTGCCAAGGCCTTGTAGAAATGTCAGAGCTGCCATCAAGTATAGCTGTTATTTTGGCTGATTCTTGTACATCACTTGAATCCTGTGGAGATGTTTCAAACTGTAAATGGTTGTGGAACGTCTCACTTCTGTTTGGGAACAGTTGTGGTGGTGACATATTACTACATTCCATGCTCCAGGTTTGGCTCTACATACCTTTTGAATTTCAATCTTAATTTGTTATGTTTACCCTACCAAAAGAATCATAATCGAATGTGATTTCCATGGCAGGGAAATGCTATTCAAGATCACTTTATCATTGTCATTCTTGAAAGTCAGATTCCAAAGGAATTTGAAAGTAGACTATTTAGGAGGAACACATTTACACTGCATTTTCCAGATGATTGGTACAATGACTTTTGCGGGTTCTTAATATGTGTGGTCACCGAAGACTTTTCTCCGAAAATTAATATAGTTATCAAGCAGGGGGTAATTAATTATTATCCATTTTGGCTTATGTCAAATGAAGTGGAGCCTGAATCTGATGGGATGAGGACATTTGTAGGATATGTTTCCTTTGGTTCATTGAGGCACACTGCATTTTCAAACTCATCTTCCACTATGATTTCAGTTTACACAAGCATAGACAGTTATGTTGTAGCTAAGCTTGTTCCTAGGAAATCTAAAGCTCAGGTCCAAACAACAAAATTCGCAACTGACTTATCAGAATTTTATGAGCAGGAACTCAATTATGGCGAACCGACATTTACTATCCAAGATGGTCCAAATTCTTCTATCAATATTATATGGCAAACACCCCAGTCGTCGAGGGCGTAGGGTATTAGTTGATTTGGGCCGAGTGATAAAGATTTAGGCCAAGGTTGAGAGTGCTCTTTATGTACTATATGATGTGTTTTATTACATTGGATTGTGGTTCCAGTGGTGCATGCATAAATATGCATATATTTTCGATGAAAATGCATGTGAGATATTGCAAAGCACCCAGTAGACATGGGTATAGGGAGGATCCGATGATCGGGGTGCCCACTATGGCACTGACTTTGGAACTAGTGATCTATGGTGGCAACCGGAACGGTTTAAAGTTATTAGACTAGATATTTATTATCTTGTATTTATGTATGTAGATAAGTCGTAGGCTAGCAATACTTTCCATATAGAATCATTGTTCATGTATTTATACCTCATTGGTTAAAGAGAGGCATCAAGTTTTCTATGACTTTCATGGTGTCACAGTTGTTGGTCTTTTGCCAGGGGCAACAAAGACCTTTTTAACCAGAATAAGAAACAGGGCATAGGAAAGCAAACTGCACAGGGGACAAAATAAGTGATAAATGACAGGGAAGGGTGAAACTGGAATAAACAGTTTTAAAGAAAGCTGCACAGTGAACAGAGAAACACAGAAACACAGATGACAAGTAAAGGCACAAAGATAGTTTGAGGCAAAGTACTTTTTATTCACTGAATAAAATAAGAAAGCAAGCTGGGATACAAACACAGCGTACATATGCCTTGCTATTAAACTAGGAAGTTAGCAAGAAAGTAGGAACTAACTAGCTACATGCTAAAGACTAGGGAACCATCTTCACACGTGGTCAGGGGCGGAACACAAACACTTTAAGTGGAGGGGCCGAAACCAAAATTTTATCTTTACTCAAATTTTTCATGTTAGCGACAATTAACAAATAATATGATCAAGTAACAATCAATAAATATCGAAAACTAGCAATTAACATACATTCAATAAATATATAAAAATTAAACAGTTAACTATCTTAATTTTCATAAAACTCTATGCCTATAAGTTATTTAAATACTAGTATATGAATTTTGGAAATAATACACATTAAAATAACATTGAAGTATGGCTGCCTTTTAAACTTTCAAGTTATTCTTTTCTACCTACTTTAGTGAGAGAAACGAGAGAACCATAGAGAGAGGAAGAGAGATCAGAAGAAGTTGCTTACAAGTCCAGATTCGACGACCAACATAATGGAGAGATGGAGAGCACCAGCAACAGAACAGAGTTGTAGAAAATGCACCGGCGACGGACTGTCGGAGGTTCCTCCTTGGATTTACAGGTCCTTCAACCTCATAAAGGAGAGAGTGGTCAGAAAGGGCGGACATGATAGAAGGAGTAGTTGGCACTCCGGCGGTGGCAACGACGTTATATTCCTGTGAAAAGGCCGACAAGATTAGCACTCCGGTGGCCATGGCCCCCCTTGGCCCTTTAGTAGCTCTGCCACTGCACGTGGTCTTTGATTTATTTAATGAAAGTAAACTAAATAATCCTAATTAAAATGTGCAGAAAAACACGTGAACTTTGAATTATTTCAACATTTTCCCTCCTAATTTAGAGTTCTCAACCTTCTTTATACCAATCAACTTACACATTTCCTCATGCTTCACTTTAGCCAAAGCTTTTATAAGTATGTCTGCCTTCTATTCCTTTCCATCTACATGTGCGACTGTTATTTCACCATTCTCCACATACACCCTGATAAAGTGAAATCTTATGTTTATGTGCTTGCTTCATCTGTGGAAGACTGGATTCTTCATGAGTTCTAGACCTTTACTTGTTGTCCACACATATTGCCACTGGTGGGATGTTTTGACCTGTTATTGATGACAAGAGTCTACGTAGCCAAATGCCTTGGCATGTTGTCAGTGGCTGCCATAAATTCAGCCTCACACGAAGATAGAGCTACACATCTTCGCTTTTGTGATGACCAAAAAACCAGATTTCCATTCACATAAAACACCATGCCTCCTATACTTCTTCTGTCATCCAAGTGCTTTACATGATCACTATCTACCTGAAATATTAATTTTATTTTCTCTTCTTGTATAGACCAAACCATGGTCTAAGGTGCCCTTGATGTACTTGAGAATCCCTTTCACAGCTTGAAGATGAACTATGGTAGGTCTCTCCATAAAGCGGCTCACTACTCCAACTGCAGATGCCAAGTCTAGACGGGCATGGGTCAAGTACCTAAGCTCACCCACTATACTCCTATACTTAGTAGGTTTGACCAGTTCTCCATCTCCTTCTTTAGTTAGTTGTGTCTTGTGTTCCATGGGACTTTTGGTGGGATTACACTCTAGCATACAGGTCTTTGCTAGTAGGTTTCTAGCATATGCTTCTTGCTTCAATGAAATATAGTTCTTGTGTTGATTTACCTTAATTCCCAAGTAGTAGGTTAGTAGACCAAGATCACTCATTTTGAATTTTGCATCCATCTCCTTCTTGAACTCTTTCACATCACTAATAGAGCTTCCAGTCACCAACAGGTCATCTACATAAACTCCAATGATTAGAGTGTTTCCATTCTTCATCCTGGTGTACACAGAGTATTCCTGGGGGCACCTTTTGAATCCAAGAATTTTCAAGTAAGTATCCACGCACGAGTTCCATGCCCTGGTCGCTTGTGTCATCCTATAAAGTGCCTTCGATAGTTTATAGACCTAGTTTCCTTCACCTTTCTTCTCATACCCTTCTGGTTGTGTGACATACACCTTTTCTTCTAACTTCCCGTTCAAGAATGTTGACTTCACATCAAGATGATGAACATCCCATCCATTCGAACCAGCGATAGCAAGAATAACACGAACACTTTCAATTCTAGCAACAGGTGCAAATACCTCGTCATAGTCGATTCCATACTTCTGCACATAACCTTTTGCCACGATCCTAGCTTTGTGTTTCACTGTTCTTCTAGTCGGGTCCCGTTTTACTTTAAAGACCCACTTCAATCCAATTAGCTTCTGATTTCTTGGTAATTCGACTAGACTCTAGGTATTGTTTCGTTCAAATGAGGCTATCTCATCTTCCATCTCATGTACCCATTCCTTCTTGCGACTAGCCTCGGTGTTGGTTGATGGTTCATCTTTGCTGCTTACCATCATTAGTTCTTCTAGTGGCAATTCAATTTCTTCGGAATTTTCATACAAATCGGTAGCATTTTGGGGCTCCACCACCTGTGGATTTCTTCAGTATTTTCATACAAAACCGGGTTTGGAGAAGATGGGGTAATTGGTGAATCGGGTATACCAGGTGGTGTATTATCGGGTGTGCTTTGTGAACTTGGTCCGGCTGATGGGCTTGATGGTTGAGGGGTCTCAGCCCGATCACTATGATTTTGGGGCGACCCGTTTTCTTGTTTTGCTGAATTCGGTGTCCATTCACCATCATCATAGTCGTCGAAGTCGAAGCCTTCAATAGCGAACAACATCCCTGGCGTCGGCTTGATCTTTGAAGTTATCTCCCATACCCATCTCCGGTCTCCGTCAAAGATTATATCCATGCTTAAATACACGAAACCTGTATTGGGGTCTAGGAGCCAATGAGCCTTCAAACCCTTCCCGAGATACACCAGTTTCATGCTCCAATTGTCCAGCTTCTTAAGATGGCCCTTGGCTACTTTCATGTGAGCAACACAACCAAAGACTCTCAGGTGACCAAAGTATGATTTCCTTCCGATCCATAATTCATAAGGTGTAGTCCCATCAAGAGCTTTGGTGCTTGGGCGATTTAATACATAGACTGCGCGACAAAAGAGCCTCACCCCACAGTACATCGGGTACCACCATCGCCTTCAGACAACTCCTAGCCATCTGTAGCACCGTCCGGTTCGCCTCTCTACTACCCCGTTTTGCTGTGGGGAGTAGGGTGTAGTGTAGTGGCGTTACAATCCTATTTCCCTGCAGTACTCATCAAATTGCTTCGACAGGAACTCACCTCTACGGTCTGTTCTTAATACTTTTAGCTTTTCACCAGTTTCAGTCTCCACTTTGCTTCTGAAATTCTTGAAGGTACGAAAGGCTTCATCTTTTTTTATTAAGAACACCCACATAACTATGTTGTAATCATCAACTAACATCATAAAGTATTTGTTGCCTATAGGTGTTGAAGGTGAGACCGGTCCACAAAGGTCGCCATGGACTAGTTCCAATTTCCTCATAGCCCTGAACCTTGTGCTTGCTGGGAACGAATTACTTGATTGCTTCCCTTTCAGACACCACTCACAAGGTGCTGATGGTATCATCATCTTGGGGATCCCATCAATTAATCCCTTTTTAGACATGGACTTTAAAGTGGTAAAATTCACATGGCCTAGCCTTGTGTGCCACAACCATGTTGGATCACTTAGATTGGCTATTAAACACCTTGGTGTAACCTCTTCTAGTTGGATTTTGTAGAGACGGTTTGGAGACTTCTTCACCTTCATTAGCAATCTTCCAGTATCATCATCAGGACCGGCCCTAAGGGAGTGCAAGGCGTGCGGTCGAATATGGCCCCGAAAAAAATAGGGCCCAATTTTTAGCCAATTTATCAAGTTACGAAATGTATATATATATATATATATTATTTGATTCAATTCCAAACATAATTTTGATTTGGTGTAGTTGGCTGAAGCGCGTTGTAGTTTTAGAATAAACGCCGATTCCCACGGAGAGCAACTTTATGCGCCCTTTATAAAAACATCACATTGTATTAATATATAATTATACTCCAACTTACACTTCTCACCCCTCATTTATTATTCATGTTTTACAATCTACCCAATATTTCAATTCCATTTATTAAATCAACTTTTAGAAATTATGTTTTTGGCCCCTCAACTTTTATAAATTTGCATCAATGGATTATACTCCAACCCAACTTTTGCTTTACCATCTATGATCTCTTCCAATTTTGTTTATTAAATCAGTTTTTAAAATCAACTTCTCTCTCTCTCTCTCTCTCTCTCTCTCTCTATATATATATATATATATATATATATATATATATATATATATATATATATATATATATATATATATATATATATATATATATATATATATAGGGCCAATTTTTACTCGTCACACAGGGCCTTCAAAATCAACGGACCGACCATGATCATCATGAACTCACAGGAAAGGTTCCTTGATTCTGATCTCATCATCTCCTTCAGAAAGTTGCCCAAGGATGATTAGATTACTGCAAAGATCAGGCACGTAGTACTATCCTTCAATCGTCTTTTTTCTCCATTCTTGCATTGGAGTAGGATTGATCCTTTCCCTTCGATTCTTACTTTGGATTCATTTCAAAATTTCACAACTCCATGAATTTTTCTGTCCAGGCTTTGAAACTTGTCTTTGTCCCCAGTCATGTGGTTGCTATCCCCAGTGTCAAGATACCACACCTTTGACTGATTCAAGACTTCACCATTTGGTTTTACTTCAGGCTTCACTCTTTCTTCATTTAGGAATACTTCCTATATCTCTTCTTTATCCTCAAAGGCTGACAACAACAAACCTGGTTCATTATCATGCTGAACTAGATTGCTTTCTTGATTTCTCTCTTTCTTTGGGTTCTTGCACTTAACTGCATAGTGCCCGAACTCCTGGTAATTGTAGCACTGCACAACTTTTATCTTGACTGCTATATGTGCCAGTCCTAGAATCAGTGGTCTTAGGCCTCTTCGGTGCCGGTTGAGACTGTGTCGGGGCCTGATGATGCTTCGTCAACTGCAACTCAATCTCCAACTCACACAGCCTAGCGGCCTCCTATAGATCTAGAAGAGTATCACATCGTTGTGTGGAAAAAAACTGGCGAATGTCCGTCTTGAGGATGATCAGATAACGAGTCATCTGAGCCTGCTCAGAAGCAAACTCTGGACAGAACATCGCCCTCTCGATGAACATATAGGTGATCTCCGACACCAACTTCCCATCTTGTCTCAAACTCAAAAACTCCCGAGACAATCGTTCCCGCTCAACCGGTGGAATGTATAGGGTGCGGAACATATCCCTGAACTGCTCCCAAGTAACAGCAGCACTCTGATCATTAGTGTATGACCCCGTTGTCAATCTCCACCAGTCCTTGGCCCCGGAACTAAGCAGGTTCAGAGCACACCTGACCTTCTGTTCAGTAGGACATGAGCAAGTAAAGAAACATCCCTCCACATCGGACACCCACCTCATAGCCTTGATGGGGTCCTGAGTCCCATCAAAAGTAGGGGGTTTTGTGTTATCGAAGTCAATGTACTGGAAGCCCCGACTGGCTCCTACTCCTCCTCTTGCTGCTGTTACGGCTGATGCAACTGCAGCGGAAGCCGTCTCTGCAAGGGCTCCGTATCTGTCATCGAAGTACTCCATCATGGCGGTCTTGATAGACCGAAACAACTCAGGAATCTAACCCCGGACAACCTCGACCACCTCCTCGCGGATGATCTCCCTAACTTGATCCTCTGTCAACATTGACCCCTCCTAACCGATGACCTCTGGCACTGCCGAGGCCTCCTGATTGCTCTGCCCTGATCCCTATACAGATCCAGCCACAAAACGCCTCGTAACCACCATACTGAAGATATAACAGGAAGATATCAG